ACTTTTTACCGTCTGTGTAACCTTACTCAAGTTACTTAACCCCTAGGAGTCTTAGTTTCTCAGTTGTTAAACAGAACTAATACTACTTCGCTGTATGATTGCTGAAAGAATTAATAAGGCCAAGTTCATACATGTAAAGGCATCTTTTAAGTCGGCTGCCACTCAGTAGGTGCTTAGCCTAGTTATTTTTTCTATACACAAGTACACACATATATACATTAACTTGTAGACTGCATACAGACCCATAGACACCAAAACATACGTTGCCATATACACTAACAGCCACTCTGAACCCATACCAGATTTTTGACCATAGAAAGTATGGCTGTTTCTCAGTTAAGTCCTAGAACTTTCCTGAATAGGCTTCTCTAAGGACTTATAACTGATGAATGGATGCCAAGAAAAGAGCTGGAAAAATGGCACCCTGCCCAGTTAAAATGAAATGCTAAGAATTCCTGTCCCAGTTACTCTTAACCCTGGATGGGGACTGGGTAGTATTTATAAGGTTTGATTTTAAGAAACCAAAGTAGGGAGGGGGACCTGAGGGGAATGGCACTCCCAGCGTGGGGGCAACTCAAGTCAGTCTCTGATCAACTGAGACCTGCAGGATTCCGAGTTGGAAATGATACCAACCCAATATCTGCCCCACATTCTGAGATTAAGGGCTCTGAGCCCTCTTCCGTGCCCCAGGATGGTTCATATACACAGCTCAAAGAAGAGCCCCAGTAGGAAGGGGGACATTAAAAATCACCATTGTTCCCCCCCCAAAAAACCTCACCCCACTCTGGTAACACTTTCTCAAAGAGGCCCCTCCTTACTTCCCCCACACCCCACTTCCAACCAGTGATGTCTCTGGATTCTGCATCCTCTGGAGTGTTACGTTCCATCTCCCAAGTCAGCTATCACTTTTCGAGTCTTTTCAGCTCAGCCAACTTGATCTTTACCAACTTCATAGTCCAACAGTGCTAGAAGTTTACCCTCTGTACCCACCAAGGAAAGGCAGGCTCATACTGTACTTGCAAATGTGCTCCTTTTAATTAATGTACTTTTAAAAATGGTTCATGGTGCTCTAGTGAAAAACATGTGCTGTGTTTAGTCATAAGAAGGGTTTCAGAATTAAAAATGGCTTCTCTATGAGTTTTGTAGGACAGATGGGGAGAGGAGTTTTCAGCTAAAGGAGAACAGAGGCTCTTGCCTTCTGAGTTGCGACTTCACCCAAAGGGAATCTTCAGCTTTGTGCTTTCCTGGTGGATGGGAATTGCTCTGATATTCTCCCAGCTGCTTTCCCATTCTGGCGTCCCCTCCCGTCCTCCTAACTCCTCCATCCAAATACTTTCTCTCTCTCTCCCCCCTACCTCCCCTTCAGACTTGCTTTTTTCTCCCTCTGCCTTATCCCTAGGGAAATAACAGAACAAGCAAGCCTGTGGTTTTCAGACTCCAAATAACAAACTGCTCAAACAATAGGCCAAAGAAAAAAGAAAACCACCACTGCTCAAACTCAACTGGCCAAGTCCCCAGTGAAGATTTCCTTCCCTACTTGATTCACTACACACACACACACACACACACACACACACACACACGTGCGGGCAAGGAATAAAAACCAGAACATTTCATTTAAAATATTTACAGGTTGGGACAGAACAAAGTGGCAAGTCTCAGTTAAAAGCATCAATGAAGAAAACAGATGCCTCATTTGCAGGTTTCTTAGTTTGCAATAACCCATGGTTACCCCGTGATCCCAGAGGGAGTGTGCAGAGAAAGGTTTCAGTAGGTCTTGAAGAAGAACTAGAGAAAGTCCTCACCCAAATGCCACTCAGAATTCCTATCTGAGGGACAGAGCCTTTTGACTCATGTGTTGGAAGAAAACAGAGAGAAGACCATAGCCTGAGGTTTCTGCTTAATTCAAGGCAGAGTTGGGTGGTTAAGAGTCCTCAAACTCAAAGCGTTTGGAATCGATGTGTAGTCGAAGCTGTATTACACTGGGTACCAGCGTTTGTCACAAGCTGTGTCATTGAGGGTAAGTTATTTTGCTTCTTTGGTCTTCAGTTTCTGTCAGGCAAATATTAAAACTACTGCCCTCTGTTGTTCACAGGTTGGGATTGTTTTTTAATTTTATAATTTTTTTTTTCCACTCAAAACAGATGCTGACAGGCACAGATTGGGATTAAATGGAAAATATGAAAGCCATTGTCACCAGAAGGAAATAAAGCCCAAAGCCAGTACTAAGAATTGACCAAAGACAGTATAGCTGTTATCTTTACAGCAGTCTTATGGGTTCAGGGGATTTTATTTCCAATATCCCTATGTGAAAAGCAAAGTTTAGAGAGGTTAGGCAGCCCTCCAAAGAGGATACAGACAATGGGGTGTCAATGCAGGTGGACATTATCAAGGTATAAATATTATCCACCATCCAAAATGATGACAAATCAGCGGTAACTAGGAATCACCAACAACCAATTCTGAGTTATTAAGAAAAAATTTTATACCAGACTCCTTTTAACTTGCCTCTCAGACCCTGTATCAAAGTTCCATTTTGCTTAAATTAAAAAGAAAGATGTTGGCAGGAAAGGGAGACACAGCTGTCCAATTGTGTGACCGAGCAGGCTCACGAAGGAAAAGATGACAAGTCTGGCGAAGATGATACACAGTGGTGGACACAAAGCAAAGGCAGAAAGGACTGGGTCAGGTCACAGACAGGCAAGCAGAGGAGGCCTGTTCCTTTCCCTTAACAGTCCACACATAAGCTGAAGCCACCCAGATAGTGGCAAAAATTCAGCTTTGGGACAGCAGGTAAAGCACATAGTCAATGGCCTCCCTGGATAGGGAAGAAAATGCTAAATGTCTGCCCTGGAAAGGCAAGAGAGAGAGAGAGAGAGAGAGAGAGAGAGAGAGGGCTTCTCACATGCACAGTTGCAGCAGAAGAGAAATTCAGAAATTCCAACTGGAATCTCACAGATTTCTACATGTGACTCATCAGCTGCCAAAACAGGATGCCTTCTTTAAAGGTGCCTAAACCCTAGCTAGGACTAAATGCTTTTCATTATACCAGCCGGTCACTTTTAGTTCTGCAAAATACAGTAAGTAGTTCCAGATAATACAATTTATCCTGTCAACTCAATCAAGAAGGCAGAAAGTTTGAGTGGGAATGGTTTGGATAGAACAGTATTAAAGATGGCATCTTTTCTGCTAGCAAAACCTCTTTGCAGGAAAATGGATGTGAACATGTCTTTTCAATAGACTATTTTTGTTTTTAGCCAACAATGCTTATAATGATAATGACAAAAAGGTAACGATGACAACAATAATTACTAACACCTACCGAGGGTTTACTAAATGACTGGCTCTGTGCGAGGTGCTTTTTCTATGTCATCTCATTAAATCCTTAGACCCGTCACCCTGCCTATAGGTTCTACTGCTTTCCCTATTTTATTGACAGGAATCATTGCTCAGAGACACAGCTGTAAGTATCTTCAGCTCTTTCTGAATCCAGAGTCTGAGCCCTGGATAAACGTCATCTCATATTGTCTAGCCTCTAAGTTCCCTTCTCATTCCGTAAGCTTCCATAAATGCATCTTCCTTCCTATATTTCTATTTTACCCCGGTATTGCCTGGATAAATCTTTATAAACATGCCATCTCAAACAATGCTATTTTACTATTTCTGGCTGCCCCATGGCTCTTTACAGACTGCAATGCCTGACAAAGCCAGTATGTTTTAATTTTCACATTAAAAAAAGAATTCCTGAGGGGAAAGAGCATTTGATGGAAAGGCAAAATCTTTACAAGCACTCAAGGAGGCATTAAAATCCAAATTTCCAAAATATGGTAATTATGTCAAAGTTGTGACTTACTCTGGAGCCCTCAGGGACACTCATCCTGACCCATCTGTGAAAGCCATCAGCAGGCAAGTAAGCCTTCTGGGGAGCAGGATTAGAGTGGCCAGTTCAGCCTCTAGCAAGGAGGCAAGGCTGCTCGCTGAGATGGTTTAAAACACTCTTTGGGAAGAGATGTGCAGGCAAAGCAAATTGCAGCCTTACAAGCTGCAGATTGGGTGCCCGGCAGTCTGTGTCTATATATTCACGGCACACTAGAGCCCTCCCGCCCCCGACTGTGCTCATACATGCATTGATATTGGAAGCAGTATTCACTCACTGGGGAAATCATCTATGTGCCTAAGTTACACAAGAGCTGCATTTGGACCAGCTGATGGCATCGCATCTGGTATGGATCACTTGCCCCAGTGTGATTCGGCCCAGCCCGGATTATTTATGGTTCATAAAAGTCCTGTTGGACCCCAACATAGCCCAAGACCACATAACAAAAAATAATGAGATTAAAAATCTGTATTTCATCGCAAGACCTCCATGGCAGATTAGTAATGCTGCGACTGTTTTCGGGAAACCAAGAGTGAGGAGAGCTAACCACGAACACTCCTTCCAGAAACCCAGAAAGAGAACAAACTGAATCATGTGTTTCAGCCAGGCTATGCAGTTGTATTCTGAGGCTCCGTCACCATTTCTAATCTGAAAGCCCTGGCTAAAATTAAATCAAAGTAACTCGAGAGCCATTTCTTTACCTGGGAGTCTCACTTAAGTCCTCATTCCTTACATCCTCTAATGGTACCTGACATTATATGCTGAGATGATTACTGGGCATGAACACAACCAGGTATTTTGTTTTTTAAACCCTCTCCCTTGTATTATGATTATTATTTTTTAAAGAAAGCTGTACATTTAGAGAAACGCTGCTTTTTAAGCACTAAGATTTAAGCATTTCTTCAGGACATCCTATACATGTGACATACTACTTTGCAACTGAGAGTTCTAATCAAGCATAGAAAACCCAAAGGGGCAGACAGCCACCCAAAATGCTACCTGGCCAAGATAATGGAGCCCCGATATCCTTCCCCAGTGCAAAGCCCCTAGATCTGGCTTTCTCATCCTCTCTAAAAAACACACTGTTGTTTAATTTGTGAATTAGAGCAAATTTCTTACCTACCTCCAGGGAAGATGAAATGTCCAGTCTTAGATGAAGCTTCTGCCAGACCCCTGGAGCTTGTCAGTTGCCCCAGTTCACTTTCTCCCTGAGTCTGACTTCTAAGAATGTAAGCAGGACCTCAGACAGCCAAAGCATCTTCTTCTCCAACCCCCTTTGCAAATCTGAGCCCTTCCTGAAGCTGGCAGCAGGCTCAAGCTGGAACTGTTCTACATTCCCCCAGGGAAAACAGCGCCGCTGGAGCTGGATCCAGACCCTGCTGGGGAATCCACCAAGCAGGGAAAAAAGTGAGACTTTCCTCTCTTCCTCTGGATCTGCTTGAGCTCTCCCATCACCTTCCTGAGAACCCCAGTTTCCTCTTAACTCCCTTTCTTCATGACAGTCTGAAGGAAGTTCCAGACCCTAGCCTCAGGGTCACCAACTGATCCTGAGCCAAACCAGGGGCCACCAGTCAGCTGCTCACAGAGCCCAAGCCACTGAACCAGGAAATGTGCAGCTCAGTAAAAAAATAATAATAACTGTCGGCGGCGCTGCTGGTGGTGCCTGAGAAGTCGCTGTTGCAGTGCTCGCATCCTCCGCATGCTAATGAAGCTGTGATGTCAGCAAGTCAGTCACGGCATCTGGACGTCCCAGCCCGCTGCCCAGCGCTGAGATTTATTTACATGTAAATTAGCCTCGCCTTCCAAATCAATAATCCCCAAGCCAGGGAGAGAGGAAAAAAGCCGTGGCTGGATGCAAAGGCCCAGCTATGCAACCTCCAAATGAGTACAGAGAGAGCACATAGAAGGAGAGAGGCTTTAAAGACACACGCCTATATATATATTTTTTAAGCTGTGCTCTTATGTGCCAGGGATCAGATCTGGGCACGATTACCAACCTGAGCACCTGTTTCCGATTATAAGCTGCACCAACCTAGGAGTGGAATCGGAGTTCTCTCTTTTTAATCAAAAGCTGTGCCGAGTCTTCAAATACCTCTACTTTGCTTTTCTTTCCTTTCTCTCTCCAACTTTCATTTCAGGGTGTCAGCTGTTTCATTGTCCTGGGACTATGTCAGTCACCATTGAGTTTTTGTGCACCTTATGATAAAACACAACTATTTTCCTTATGTGCTCAGGTGGTGAATTAATCACCCGCCCTCTCATCCCAACTCCAAGTGCAATGGCAGATGACAATGCACAAACCTCCCCAGGGTGTCTAAGGAAGGTGTCTTATAGCCATAGGGAGCATTGCTTCCATCTCATTTTACAGATGAGAAAATGGAGGCATGGTGGAAAAGGAACTTTTCCAAGGTCACATGAAATTTCAGCGAGGTTGGGCCAGAATCCTTATTTCCTAGACTTCAAACTGGAGTTTTGTTAAATAACTCTGGGTCTCCAATCTCCATTTCACTATACCACAAAAAGGCTGCCCAAGCAATCACAAAGAAGGAATTCTATACAGTTGGATAGCTCTGGGTTCAAATCTTGACCTGGCTTCCTACTAGCAATGTGACCTTGGGCAAGTGACATAACTTTTGGGATCTTCAATGACTTCACCTGTACCATTCACTCAACCAATAAATAATTACCTACTCTATGCCATGTGTCATTGTAGAAAGTGGGAATAAACGTAGACGTGGCTTTCATGAAGCTTGTACTGTAGTACAATAAGAGAAAGTAAAAATACTGAATAGAAAGAACTATGGAGACAACATAATGTTATATACTCAATAAATAACAATTATTTCTGATACTTTGAATAAATCAGAAAAATTCACTCAGGTGTTCTATTCACTAGGATGGTCACTGTTTTTATCCTTTGAGTATTTCTAAGATCATCTTTTATTGTTTCAATAAAATGTTCTGGGCCAGGTAGTAATCCCAACACTTTGGGAGACTAAGGCAGGAGGATTGCTTGAGGCCAGATCAGATAGGGCAATACAGTGAGACCCCTATCTTTACATGAAATTTTTTAAAACATTAACTGGGTGTGGTAGCATGTGCCTGGAGTCCTAGTTACTCAGGAAGCTGTGGCAGGAGGATCGCCTGAGCCTAGGAGTTTGAGGCTGCAGTGAGCTGTGACTATGTCAGTGTACTGTACTCCAGCCTGGGCTGAGAGAGAAAGCAAGATCCTGTCTCTTAAAAAGTAGGGTGGGGGGCAGCTTTTATTTGTTGCAACAATGGGGGCCCCATTGCTATCTATGGCAAATGTATCTTCCTCTATAAGCCTGTATCTTGCTCTTAACTCTGCAAACTTATCTTTCCCTTTTTCAGTAAACTTTGTTTCATACTTGTCGTACTTTGGGGTGTCTGGTCATTTTTCAACCAAAAATGATCCAAGAATCAGAGACCTAGGCAGCTGCCTGTAAGCCTAACATTTCTGAACGTAGGCAGTCACCTTGAAACCTGACATTTTTGGTGCCAAATGAATTGGATAGAACTGATTAGGATTAATTCTGCCTAGATAAGCCAACTCACCTTTTTCATAAAGACTCTCTGACTCTGGCAACTAGGTAAGCCAGCTTGTTCTTGCTTGAAATCCTCCTCACCCCGCCTCCCAGCAGCCAGCGCTTGAGAGAGCTACCTGGTACTCGCTTCTGCCTTTCCACTTCTGTCATCTTTCAGACTGAGCGCTTGAATGCTTGGCTTAACCTGGGCATATGATAAGGAGTTTGGGAACACATCCCATGATAGAGGAGAAGTCTCTTATTTTGTTTAACTTTAGGGAAGAGGGCTCTACCTTGTGCTCTGGGCTTTGCGTTTGTTTTAATAACATACTTTTCTTTTCAATTTGATGGGGCGCTTACATCCCTTCCCATATTAAGGCTAGACAATGTTTCCTCCCCTGGTTTTTGTCTGCCCTGAGTTACAGTCTCTCCCTGTGGGGCATAGTTAAGTGTAGCAGAGCCTCCATGGTTGAGCACCTCCCTACATTGACCACCTCTATATGTTGACCAGTTTATTGCAGTCTCTTGGGTGGTCAACTTAAAGAGGTTCCACTGTACTTACACGGGTGGCTTTATCGGGCTTTTCTCCTTCCCCTTTAAGCTGTTCTTTTGTCCTGTCCCAGGAAGTGCCTCCCTCATTATGGCTGGCCACCAACTGCTGGTGCTATTGATGGCACCAATACAAATGACCAGGTTATTAATACCAAAAGATATCACTGTCCTAAAAAAAATGTTCTGAATAAGACTGCCTGTGCAGCATCCTGGTGGGCCAGGAGAGAAGCAAGCACAAGCCAATATTCTGTATTGTGTGATAAGAAAGCACTGTGGGTGGATGTGAAGGATGAGGGGAGGGCTGGGAAAGTGGGAGAAAGGTATATTCCATCATGCACACAAAGGGTCCCCAAGGACAAAGCAGCCAGCATGGTGCCTTGCCCACACTTCCCCGCCTGGAGAAGCCACTCTGATGAGCTCTGCCCTTTCAGCTGGAGTTCTTGAACCTTCAAATGAATTTCTTTGTTGAATATGAAGAAGTTAAATTATGTCTTTTGTTGTATGTAATTATATTAATAATACTTAATAACTTCTTTCAGAATGTTTCTCTCTGGTTCACAGAAGACCTTTCATGGTGCAAATAAGAGACCTGGAATAAATTCTCACTAAGGTAAATGGAATAGAAGCAAATGAGGACCACTCAGCCTTCAGTCTCCATCACACAGAACTCAGGAATGTGTGGGGAAGCAGATGGTTGCGCCAGATCTCAAAACCTTTCAGAAAGTCAAGTAACAAATCTACCAGTTTGGGACCACCTATGTCTACATGGAAACAGTGACATCCTGCCCCAGTATGTCCATGAACTAGTTACTTTAACTTTCTATGCCCCAGTTTCCTTAAAGAAGAACACACTTCTCTCTGATCTACTTACCATCAGCATGAGCATATAAGAATTATGAGAAACGATTCGTGAGAGCTTAAACAATGGAGCAATGTAGAAGAAAGCTGGAACACAGGAAGTTAAAAGGTATTTGACACATGATTACCAACTTTATAAGAGCTAACAATATAAATGGGGTCTAGAATGGATTGCCTCGGGTCAGACTCTGGCTCTGACACTTCGCAGAGGACAGTAACAATGCCAGTCTTCACAGGGTTATTGGCAGAATCAAACGGTAATTAATGTGAAACATTTAGCACTGAGCCTGGCACAAGGCAAACGATAACTGTTAGCTATTGGGAGTAGAAGGGATGATGCTTTCACTGTTAACTTTGGCACATATTAGCTAACTGACCATTTGAAGGTCAAAAAGTGGAGAGAAAGTGAGTCAACACAAGTCTGTCAAATCATCCCTACCCAGAGGGCACTACTCAAAGTTCCATCTAATGTGGGTGAGCCACTGATGTGTCCTTTTCTATATGGTACAGCACAAACATTTCTAATTGCCATGGAACTAGGAAAGAAAGAAGGCAATAAAAATTACTAAGAGGTGCCAAGGGACCCCTCCCCTTCTGAAACTGTATACCAGGACAAGACAACTCTATTTCTGCTTATTATGTTTCACCCACCCCATCCATATATCCATTTACTTATGACCTGAACTCCTACTATTTGTCAGTCACTGTGTGAGGCCCTAGGGATATCACGGTAACCACGACTGACCTGAGGTCTGCCTTAAAAATGCTTGGCAAGTGAGAGGGAAAGACAATTAAGCAAGCAGTTAGAGTAGAGTGTGATGTGTATTATGCAGGAGTGTGCAGAGTCCTTGAAGGTCTAAGCAAGTCAGGAGGAGGATGGAGCCAGAGCATGTTACGTAAGTCCATCTGACAGCATGTGCTCTGTGAGCTTAGCTTGGTAATGGGAAATAAGGAAGCTGGAGATCAGCCATCACCCTTGCACAAATTATTAAAATATCAAAATCCATGGACTATTAATTCTGGGTGATCATTATTTTTATCCTGGAGATTATTCGAATCAGACCTTTTAGAAATTACCCTGTTGATACAACTCCCTTTACCATAGCTTCAAAGAAAATGAAATACCGGGGTGGCGCCTGTGGCTCAAGGAGTAGGGCGCCGGCCCCATATGCCGGAGGTGGTGGGTTCAAACTCAGCCCTGGCCAAAAACCGCAAAAAAAAAAAAAAAGAAAATGAAATACCTAGGAATATATCTAACAAAGGAAGTGAAGGACCTCTATAAAGAAAATTATGAAATCCTAAGAAAAGAAATAGCAGAGGATATTAAAAAATGGAAGAACATACCATGCTCATGGCTGGGAAGAATCAACATTGTTAAAATATCTATACTTCCCAAAGCAATCTACCTATCAGTGCCATCCCTATTAAGATACCAACATCGTACTTTCAAGGTTTGGAAAAAATGATTCTGTGTTTGGTATGGAACCAGAAACCCCACTGTATAGCTAAGGCAGTTCTTAGTAATGAAAACAAAGCTGTGGGTGTCACCATACCAGATTTTAGGCTGTACTACCAAGCCATAGTGGTCAAAACACTGGCACAAAAATAGAGACATAGACATTTGGAATGGAATAGAAAACCAGGAAGTGAAACTAACATCTTACAACCACCCAATCTTCGATAAGCCAAATAAGAACAT